ATTATTATTATTATTATTTTTTAATTGGTCTTAAGTAAATTCAAATTCTCTGAGATAGTGAGTTTGGGGTTTTCATTGGTTGTCAGTTATAATCATCAACATTAAAATAAATAAACATTTGAAATATATCAGTCTTTGTGTAATGAATGAATATAATATACAAGTTTCACTTTTTGAATGGAATTACTGAAATAAATCAGCTTTTTCACAATATTCTAATGTTATGACCAGCACCTGTACATTATTTACACTCATGCACATGACAGCAGTGTAGATGAAATCAGCTGCTCTTACTAAGCTAACATTACACCACACAGACCAGTGTTTAACACACAACAACCAGACATGACTTACAAACCAAGAACACAACAAAACTATTGTCGTGTTGAATATTTCTCCTGTCCAGTGCTCGATGAGAATAGATGGCAGTAAAGATGACAAATGTTCTCAAAAAGTTTCTTTGTCTACAAATTGTGCATATAATACACAGCTGTAGATAGTTTTCCTCAGTTAGTCCCCCCCCCCCCCCACACACACACAGGGCAGGAGGTCACTTATATAAGCAGGTCTGTCTGACACCTGTACGCTGCTGACATTAAAAGACCACCCACTGAAATGGCAGCACACGCACATCTGTCTGAACAAATAAGTGACTACCAAAAAACTACTGCTCCTAAACAATTATCACTGTGTTCTGCTTTCATCATTTCACTCATTTAAAAACTTGTTAATGTTGCTACAGTTGCCACATGTGATGATGATGTTTTCCATCTTCAGTGGTTAAAAGAAATGTCTTTGGATTCTGAACAAACCATCCAAATGAGATTATTTAAAACACATGCATTTATCACTTTAAGCCTGCAAAGACTGTTTTTAATTTCTGTGAAGTTAACACTTTCAATGCTTATATTTTCCAATCAATAATTGACAGTACTTGTATTTAAAATGACCAGTCCATGACAGGTTTAAATACAAACTCAATAAAGCCACAGATTTTATTTTGTTCTTTAATTTGTTTGTTCATATTTATGAATTTTGAAAAAGCAAGATACTCACTAATCAAAGCAGAGACACTGTTGAGTTTAGGATCATAAGGACATTTTCCTTTCCCAGAGTCCACTTTGCCAGGCTCAAGACGGAAAATATATTCCTGCCATGAAGAAAAATGTGAAGAAATATTTAATTGGTTCCTTACATGTTATTTTTTAAATGTTAAAGACAGTTTTTAATGTGTGGCACTGATTAGGTAGTAGACGTTAATTTTTAAGGCACTTAATAATTCAAGTTCTCAAAGAACTATTGGTTTGCTGAAGAGAAAAAAATGCATCAGTGACTTGGAGCAACCCAAAACTCATCCATCATGCTTCTGATGTTAGTCACCATAACAAATATTCATTATTACACAGCACAACAGGACACATTAAACATCGATGTCAGCAGTGGTGTTCTCAGGATGTGACAAAAATAAAAAAATAAAAATGATGGCAAAATCTTTTCTTTTTTTCTTGCACTCAGATATTTTTAGACACAATAAAACTCAAAAAGATGCGAAAAGATGCTCATTAAAAAATGTGAACATTTTCACCAACCACCAAAATAACAGCAGCTGTTTGAGCAAAGATTTTTGTAGATCTGATTTAAGACACAAAAGAACAACAACATTTTTTATTCTCTCTTAATTTGTGTGTTCGTATGGCACTTCTTACTACTGAAGAACATTTGGTAAAGGTGTAAGGTAAAACAAATAATTGTTACCGTATTTTTAAGATTATAAGGCACACTTAAAACCCTTTAATTTTCTCAAAAATCAACAGTGAGGCTTATAATCAGGTGCTCCTTATGTATTAATTCTGGTTGTGCTTACAGACCTCGAACCAATTTTATGTGGTTATTGTGAATGAGTTGAATAAAGTTTGACTTATCTGACTGTTTTGTTTTGCTTAATGTGCCTTATAATCCAGTGCACCCTATAGTCCGAAAAATACAGTAATCACAGTATAGGGGAGCAAAATTTTGAAATGCACAACTTGTGTTGGTACGAGATCAAAATATAGACATTTTAACCTAGAATGGGAATTGAGGTTTTTTTTGTTTGTTTGTTTTACATGGGAAGCTTTTTTTTTTTCTTTACATAAAACTATGAGCATCTAAATATTTTGGTGAAGCTGTTTTAACACGAGGCAGAAAGCTGCCTTGGTAACCCAATATATACAGCATAACATGTACATGTATAGCTTTAGCACCGCCATCCCCACACCTCCATCTGTGACCTAAAAACTGTGCTGCAGGTGGGCACCAAACTCTGAAACTCCTTCAGCCCACCTTTGTGCTCATGGGCTCTGATGTAGTGCTGTAGTCTGCTGCTCGACTTGTTCTCCCTCCTGACTGAGCCTGAAGGTTTTGGAACCCCTAAAAACAGAAACAGTTGCCTCCTCGTTAGACATTTCAGCTTTAACAAGGGTTGGATTTAACTGAAGATAACAATAACTGAGGAAGCAAACACAAAAGGACTGGAGAAATCAAAGAATGAAGACTTCTGAAAGATGGAAAGATAAATTTAAAAAAGGTTCAAAGAGGCAAAAAAAAGAAAGAAAGGTGTTTTGTTTGAATCATTTAGTGTCATGCAAACACAACTGGTAAGTTCAAACTGAAACCATGCTGGAGTAAAAAAACAAGCTGAAAAGGGGAAAAAGAAATTGTTAAAAAAACAGAATCAAAGCAAAACATTACCTACCGCTAAAATTATGACTTTAAAAATAAGTTAACAAAACATACATGCAATTATCTTACAGCATTAAAAAAGATGAGCAATTTTATAAACAAGGTAGTCACGTCATTAATATTTTTATTTTGTTGCTAATTATTTGGCCATATTTGGCAGTACCTATTGTTTTGAAACTGAGCAGTTCAATTGTGGAGCATTCACAATTTGTTTTAATTTATTTTTATTTTCTTCTTTCAGCTGCTCCCTTCTTCAGGGGTCACTACAGCGAACTAACTCGCATGAGGACTATGCAATTATTTTTACACGGGATGTCCTTCCTGACACAACCACAGACCACCGAGCTACCACAGCCCTCTGTGTGGAGCAGAGAGCTGCTATCTAGGACACTCGGGGGAGCAGATGGGGCCCAGAGTGGGGCAAAGGAAGGTGGAGGCAGGATGTTTCACTTATCTCGCCCACATTTTGATGTTGTCGGTACCGGGAGTTGAACCGCAGATCTTCCGATCACAGGCCCACCTTCTCTAACCTCTGCGCCACCACTCGCTTGCATTCACAAATAAAATATAAACCTAAATGACATTTTAGAACGAGTTCAGATTTATGGTTTTGAACATCACATCCTGACAAAGTGTCCTGGGAACGTGTTAGACATTATAAAAAAGGGACACAGACTGACTGCAAGTGAGGACTGAATCCCGTGAAGCTCGCTGCGTAACAAAAGAAGAGATCTGCAAACAAGTAGTTTGCGTTTACGTTTCCTCTGACAGAGGAAAATCTTTACAGTGTGAAGTAACACAACATTTGGGCCTCCAGGGAGGAGTAGAATGACAAGAGGCAGATTGACCTTTACATTGAAATCTGAAGCCTCTAAATTGAACAGGGAGACTAAACAGACAGAGCGGAGAATGTAAGTGTGCTGATTATAACCTGGTGGGCAGCTGCCGTGGCTCTGCCCGGCTGCCACGGAGGGAGGGGGCAGCTACAAGGCCGATGATGGACGAGAAGCTCCATCAGTAATGATTGCTCTCACCCAGACAGGTCGAATGACCTGCTGCGTGTAAACAGGTGAGAATGGGGATAAAGGGACCCCAAGGAAGGGATGTCAAAGATCCATCTAAGCAGTGACAGGTATCTTACCAAGAGCTATTTAAAAACAGAAATCTGGGGAGGAGGTGGACAAATCAATGAAAACCAAAATGAACCTGAGCAATTAAAATGTTTCTGACCAGGGTTTGACTGACCAATATGATTCTTCAAGAACTAAAAACTAAAGGTCAGCATGTCTCCATGGATGCCTAGTTGTGTCTTTGGTTACCTGTGACCTACGTCCTCGGTCCACATATGTGCAGATGGGATTGTATGCGCCTGTTCCACAAACATACAGGTGGGTCCGGTTCCACGGCTCAATCAGACGGATGAAGTTTCCACATTCCCCCTAAGAGACAGGAAAATAAAACACAACTGGACTTTAGACTTGTGTTTATTTTTTGTAAACTGATGGTGAAAAGGCAATGGGAAACAAAGTACGTAAGACAAAATGCCCCAGCGTTTTTTTATTTTTATTTTTTTAGTTCCCTTCCAGGCTTAAAATCATTTATTACTTCTTCTGTTGGCCTGGCTTACATTCTGCTGCTCTGACTTCACATCAGACCACACTGTTAGAGAGAGACTGTTTCCAAACTTCATATAAGTGGGTGGTGGAAGCCCAGGAAAGTGGTACCTCTGGGATATGAGGGATATTTTCTAAAGGGATTGAGGTTAAACGCAATTCAAACTTGGCGACCGAAAACCATTTTGGTTAGACCAAGTTAGGCTACTGAAAGAAAATATTGGTTTTACATAAAAATTATAATTGAGGACCAAGACAATGATGTGAACATATGCATATGGATAACTGAGTTTTAGTGTGTGAATACTTATTAGCATTCACACTATTGTGATACTGTTTATATTTATTATTCTTCCGACTACTTTGTCTATTCCGTACGTTTATTGGCATCTTTCTCGTTCCACAATTTTTTTTGCTATTTCAACAAATCATAAATCAAAACGTTCAGCTCATTCAGGACAATCGTGTTATGACTCGTGTTATGTTCCTTTCAGATTATTTCTGCAAGTTTCAGCTGTTTCTGCTAATTCAGCTACTATTTAGCTGTTTTATGCTAATTTAAGCTTTTTCAGCTTGTTCTGCATTTTTTGCACTCATTTAAACTTTTTTAAGCCTCATTCAGCAAAAATGTGCTCTCGCCACTTCCTCCCAGTAATTTAAGCTTCTTTATGCTTTTTAGCTAATAGTCAGCTGTTATTTTTTATTTTTTGCAAGTTTCTGCTTTTTTTCAGATATTTTCCAGTTTTTGTGCTCATTTCGGCTTCTTTAAGCCTAATTGAGCACAACTGTGCTCTTTCCACTTCCTTCTGGTTATATAAGCTTCTTTCTGACTTTTTAGCTTCTTTTCAGTTTTTTTCTTTTGCTAATCTCAGCTTTTTCAACAAATGTACAGAAAGTATGTGTTCTTTCTGCTTTTTTCTGCTAACTTAGGCTTGTTCTTCCATTTCAGCATGTTTTTTTATTTTATTTTTTTTTATAGCTAATTTAAGCTAAATTTCAGCAAGTTCTTCTGCAATAAGCATTCCCACTGCATTTTCACAGGAAAATGCAATTTCTCTAGTTGGATCAATTTTCATGTTTTTAGCTATTTTTTGTGAGTGGTTTAATTCTAGTTTTTTTTTTAATGATGATCTGTTTGTCATTCTGGTTTTAATCACTAACCGTCACCTATAAAAATCAAGTTATCTCTTCAAATGTTCACGTCTTCTGCTATATTGACAGCTGGAGATAAAGACTGAATGCACCAAAAATACAAAAGCAAAAAAGACACAAAGGGCGAGGGGATGAGCCTTTTTGGAGCCACGACAGATGCACAGAGGTTTCAGAGGATAGTGTGCGTGTGTTTCCACATGTGGGCCTATGTGGATTATTCGGTGTTCAGTTGCTCCCCCCACAGCGAACGCAGCAGGGATGATTGCCTATGACCCCCCACCTGAACCGATGTCCCTCCTGAATAACTGTTGAATTGTCATCATCTTTTATTCAGTAAGAAGCGCCCGGTGTCAAGATATCTTGCAATTTAATCTATTTTTTCTTCTTTTAGTCACGAAATTTTAACTCTAACACACACACATGCACGGCTCATGTGGACAACACGCAAATAGGCAGAGACAATGTTTCCGCAGGCAGTGGGCAGCGGCGGGCCACAAACACGCATAAATGCACATTCTAGTTGGATAAGCAGCGGACTGCGCTCGCTCCCAGCAGGGTGGAGCAGAGCGATTAGCCAGAGCTACATCACTTGTACGGTGCTCACTGCTCACTGTTCACTGCACGGGGGGGTTACGATGTGTAAATCAAATCAAAAGAGATGGATCAGTTTTTTGTATTAATTTCAATGATGAGTTTCCCTCTCTTGTGGGGGCTGCACAGGCGGAGGCTGCATTTGAATGTCTGAACCTTATTACCACTTCAAACAGGGCTGCTGAGTCCACTGGTCAGTTCATTTAGGGGCAAACAAATGTTAAAATTATAGTGTGCAAAAATAATTTTATGATAAATAATACTATGTGGAGATATTTAAAAAGAAGAGAGATGTAGTTGGGAAATAGCAGATTATTTTAAGTTTAATGAATGTTGCACATTTTTGGTCGCTGCAAGAGCTTAATTGGTGGCAGCTGTAAGCAATCAGCAATCAGCGATGCACAGACAGTGAATAAGAGCTTCACAGCAAGTTGCATGCTGGGAAGAGCTTCAAAATGTCCTCTAATGACCCAAGTGCCACATTTAAAATGCCACATCAGCATCAACAAAATGTCACGTTGAAGTCAAAGTGTTTGTTTCAGTATGGAGAGCAAATCTACTACTGCAGTGACGAATGCAAAACAGCTTTACGGAAAGCCACAAATTATGTAAACTTACTTTTTTTTACCTTTGTCTTGATATATTTATTTAAAATAATATATTTAATATATAACTATATATACTTCTGGGTTTGGGTTTTGGACTCTATTTATTGCATTTATGATTCAATGGAATAAAATAAACAAATTTAAAAGGTAACAGAACATTGTAAACTTTGGTTTATGATTTTAATCACTAGATGTTCGGTCCCCGAGCTGTTGCCTTTCAGAAACTGTGTTTTGTTTAATAGCTCTGCACTGAGGAACAGCTTCTACCCTGAAGCTGTTAGACTCATAAATCCCTAACCATGATAATCACTGTAAAAATAAAAAATCACTGTAATGTCATTTTGATCGATGATGTGTGACTTATCTGTGCTGCTGATTATACATGCTGCTGATCTCATGCTGCTGTATTCATTCATACCTATCTGCTCACTACAGACTCATGTTCATGCTGCTGTTATGCCGTATTATTTTACATTGTTAGTGTTTAGCATATATCTTAGATCTTTTAGCGTACCGTTTGACATTCGTTTAGCGTATATCTTAGTGCATATCTTAGATCATTATATACTCTTTCTTTTTATACTTTATAATTTTGCTAGTTTTGGATGTAACTGGGACACTGAGTACATAATTTCGTTCCACCTCATGTACCACATGTGAAGAATGACAATAAACTTGACTTGAACTTGAACTGTAGTTGAGACGTTTTTGAACGACGACAGTGTAGAAGAATAAAATTAATGTTGATGAAACTGATTGATTAGTCTGAGTGGAGCCAAGACCAAACAGGATTGCTGTCAGTCTCACAAATTTTATGCAAACACTTCTTTAAAACATTTTCACAATAAATGTCCCATAGATGGGATATTCACACAGGATTCTGTGGTTATTTACAAATGAAAATAGAGGCAGCAGCAGCTAGCTGCGGTATTTTTATTGCAACCTGGAGAACCTAAGGCAGGGACATTAGAATATTTCTGCTGGAATAGCCAAACCTTGACAGCAATTCATTGCTGTGTGATTTAAGCAATGTGCAGATTTATAATCTAACATTTGCATAAACTGTGATTTGAGATTAGAGATGTTGTAGGACTGAAACAATCCACCATGAAAGTGCTTGGTGGTGGTGTCCATGATGCCTGCTTCTTAAAATATAACTCAGTGAACCCAAAATGACTTTACTGTCTGTCCTGTCACATTTAAAAGTTGTTTAACTTCACTACACAACCTCTTTAAAGCTAACATGACAATTCAAGAGCAGATCAGATTCCATTCTTATGTTTGTTTATTGCTCATAAAGGCCTAACTCAGTCAGTGATTGATTAAAAACTGTCGTCTTGTGTGTGTGTTTTAATTACTTACATTTGTGTCTTTCCCTGACAGAATACATTCCGTCTTCCTCTGAGCTGCAACAGGCCAGTGGATCTGACCGAAGCACAAAACAAACAATCTGGTTAGCCTCAAACTCAACGTTGAGCTCGCTCAGTTAAACGCTTGTGTGCGGACTGTCTTACAATCAGCGGCTCCTTGTTGATGTCGTGCAGATCCAGAGAGAGAATGTAATCTTTGCTCCCCACGTACATGCGGTCGTGGTCCTCGTCCATGCGCAGGATCCGATAGTCGGTTGAGTTGAGCAGGAAGGAAAAGTGGTGAGCGGTGCCGGTGGACTTTAACTCTGTGAAAACACACACACACAAATATATATATAACTTGATAAATATAACCATGTCATTCATATGCACTGCTCCCTTTTTGCACACAAAACCCTTAAAAAAATTAAATATATTGTCATGGTGATATGCTAATGACCCTACCATCCAGCTCTTAAATTAATTTACCAGAGCTGTTTGGTTTCTCTCTTCCCTTATTACATGCAGCTATAACAAAGTTATGGATGAACTAGATCTGGTTATTGACAAGCTTGACAAAGAAAAGAAGACATTAATTGACCCTCCAGAGTCTCAGCTCAACGGCAACAAACAGCAATAGTCAATAGGTATGACAACTTGAAGACGTCATACGATCTGCTTCCTATTGCAAAAAAATAAAAATATAATTGATAATGTCCAGGGTTTGGCAGTCTGACCTTTCACCTCGTTTCTTTCAGAGTTTTTCCATTATGAGGAATGGCTTTGCTTCAACAATTTATTCTAAATGCAGTAAAATAAAAGATACAGAGCACACAGAAGGTTTTATTCCACACACTGTCCTCCATATTACACTTTAAAAACTACAGTAAAATAACTCATAGGCTGCTTAAGTGGGATTACTGGTGATTTAAGGATTTAAGCAGAGATCTGGTGAATAAAAGGCAGCGTTTCTCTTGATCCTACCTCTGTAGATAATAAATAAACTCTTCAGTATTTTCTTTTTAATTCTTGTTGGGAAACTGAAGGTGTTAAAAAAAAGCCTGTTTTTACTGGTTTTTGTGAGAAGACCAAAGAAAACTTAAGAACCTGCTCAAGTTTCACTTGACTGGGAGCAGAAAATGTGCTCATTGTCCTGTGTGCCCAAGTCTGACGGTCAGTGATCATGAAAAGTCTTCACAACTTGACTTTCTTCAACCAGAAGGAAAGAGGGAAAAAGCTTTCCTGCTTCACAATTTTACAGTGAATTAATTAAAAAAACAGCCTGAAGCACTCCACTTGTCTAAAACATATTAAAATACTGATGTCATTCCTTTATTTTAAAAAAGCCTCTCCTGCTAGTGAGCTGAGCTCCTTCAGGCACAGAAATGCTTTTTTCACAGTGCAGAATTCGGACACACAAGAAGTAAAACGATATAGTTGTCACCCATGTAATTATTGAGAGCAAAGTTTCAGTGTGCTTAATTTGGTGAAGCAGTTGCACTGAAGTTTACTTTAGCGAAATCTTTCCTAGTGTGTTTGCATGAAGGATTCCAGGAAACACTTCTGAAATAATCCAGAACTCTTGTTTATAATTTCGTCTCATTGGCCTGATTGTTTACTCCTCCAGCTGTGCACAGCTGTTTAGTTTCATACTGCTCATTCACATTCTGCATGAGAAGTGAAGTACTCCCGGTGAGCTCTGGCTCTATTTAACAAAAATATAAGACAGCAGTTATCTGCATTTATGTGACAGAAGCTCACATTTATATAGTCCACACCCACTATCCAGAAACTCAAGTACCGTACTTTCCACCGTACACGTCACACTGCCCTATAAGTCACATCAGTCCAAATACGTCGAATAAAGTGGCAAAAAACATAAATATGTTGCTTTGCTGTATAGGTCGCATTTATTATGCGTCACCGCTGACAACCCGGAAATGTGGGCTGGTGTTGTGCCAAAAATTGATTGGCTGCAAAATGGCGAGCACAGGAGGACTTTAACAAGAATTTAACTAGATTAACACTTAAAAACAATTATTTGTTTGCTTGACTTTATAGTAAAGGTGTGTCTCAGTTGAACTTTTTCTTAATAAATGCACTTTAATGGTCAAATTAGCTGCATTTCGCCGTGGCGATGCAGCAAAATGAAGCTGATTTGACGGTTACTCCAGGCAAGCTGGATGAAGGTGGCAGGCTATGGCAAGCCGATTGTGTCATTAATAGCCACTTTTACCTATTACACGATACAACAGCATGCCATACAACTCGAGCGTTATCTAGCGGCTGAAAATGGTAATGTTCAATATTTCCGATGTCAGAATGAATGAAAAGGTCACATCTCAGCCAAAAATTGGTTTATAAATATGTGAAAAACAAAAAAAAAAAAAAAAAAAAACATAAATACGTTGCTTCCGTGTATAAGTAGCAGGGCATGCAAATTTTGCAAAAAAACTGCAATTTATAGGCCAAAAAATACGGTAGCTGGATTAAAATACAATAAAGCATAAAACCACCAGCTGGTGGAAAACAAAAAATGTTGAACTGACTAAAAAAATTGTACAAAGTTAGAAAAATAAAGTCACAGCATAAAACATTAAAGTACATATTTCTCAATAAATGAAACAATTCATTTCAACAAATATTAAAATGCTAATCGCTAAATAAACTCCTGCTCATGCAGGATAAATAAAAAAATAAGAACACATTTTAAATTGTTGGCTTAATTAAAACGTCAGGTGCTCTGAGATCCTGGTTAGAACGTGCATGGACACTTCACCTGATCACGACGCGACAACTCCAAGTGCATCATTTGTATTGTCCTTTAGATGCAAACTTTTTATTAAGTAGATCATAAAATGCACCCAAACGTTGTTAAATAACAAACAAAAATAAATTACAATTTAACATTTGATCATAGTTTGGTCGACAAACAAATGGGTAATCTCCTAATGGATGCCTCGTTTTTGATGATTTGTCTGAATTTTAACAGCTTGAACTCAACAGAATTAGAACAAACACCAACAACTATATTAGATTCTAAATTTAAGTTACATAGATTTCATCCCTTTCTGAATTTATATTTTCGAACTGCAAATTTATTTATTTTTTGTAATCTAATGTCACATTTTTGTCTGTGTGGACTTGTGTTAAGGAAACCTTCAGGGGGTGAATGGCTGTCACAGATTTACCGTAGGTCACTGCAAATAAGACTCGACAGAGAGACTGACAGGAGATCTACAAGTAAACGTGAAACATCACAACATCTGATTCTCAATTATTAATTAAGTCATAAATCTGACAGCCAACTATTTTCCTTTACCATCAGTTGTCCATTCAAAACCTAAATAAGACAAGCCAAATCGACATTCTTTGTGCTGATCCTAACCCCTTTAAAGTCTGTTCATAAGCTCGACCAAAAGCCGTACAGTATATTACCTCCATTCATTGTATCACTTTAATTTGTGCAACTGAAGTGATAATTTAACACCCAGGATGAACAATCTTGGCAAGATGAGACATGCTAAAACACGTCTTCTTTGGAACAATTCCTGCAGCATGGTGAGATAAGAAGAAAAGTATGACAACAGTCCACTGCAAAATGCGCTTACACTCCTCCGTCAGCAAAAACTATTCTTCACAAAAGAATTTCTGTGGGTTATAGGACAGCAGAAAAAGCCCTCTGAGGCCAAGAAAAACATAGCAAAACGAAACAAAACAAACCTTGACATCGTGTTAAATAGTCAAATTTACAAGCAGCTGGCAAGTTTGGCCACTGATGGGGCATAAATGTGAGGATCTGGTGTGTCTCACCCAGTTTCCAAGCAAGGTCTTAGTAATGACTACCAGACACAAAGGCAATTTGTCTTTTTTTTCAGTGATCAAAAAGTCTTCAGTATTTTCTAAAGGTGTTTTTGCTGGACTGAACTATTTCTGCTATCATCAAATGTGAAAGACATTTGCTGATAAACTAAAGCATGCTGACATTTTTCTGACTTTCTGCTTCATTTGTTATCCAATACATCAAGCCTCTTTATCCTGACTTTGTACCAAGTGGTTTTCTTGGTAACCCTCAAAGTGACCCCTGATTTGTATCTGTAAGGAGATGCAACACCCAGATCCTGCTGCCACCTCTTTTTTTAATGCCTTTAACTCTTTTCTTACAAACAGTTTGTCTTTGAATGAAAGAAAAAAAAGGGGTTTTAGGGAGCAGGGAGCAGAAAATCCCACATACTTGCCCAGGCATCCATGGCATGTTTGAATTCTCCAAATCTGCTGCTCACTTTCACCCAAAGTAAAAGGTGTGGCCCCACCTTGCCGAAGCTTGTCTGCAGCCAAGCATGCAAGGATGTGTCCCTAAAAGTAATTAAAATCATTGAGACTGTCTGGAAAACTTTTGTGATGTTGAAATGGTTGACTACCTTTGAAATTGAAACAGTCACACTTGTGGTTTGATCATAACGACAGCCTCTTTAAAGAAAATGTTCACTATTGTTGAAAAAGACAAAACCAGCTTTTAGAGTCGCCTTTGGGCATATTGAAATTCAGCTACAGTAATAATTTCCTTATTTAGTTTAAAATTACACATGAACTTCTCTGCAGCCTTACCAGCCAATTTTTACACAGGTATGCAAGGAAGTGGTTGTGAAAAAAGTAAAAAAAACCTAAAAATTCCTCCAAATTCTTCTTCTTTCAGCTGCTCCCTTCTTCCACGGTCACCACAGCGAAGCACAAATACCAGACCACTGAGCTACCACAGCTCTCTGTGTGGAGCAGACAGCTGCCATCTAGGGCACCCGGGTGAGCAGATGATGGGGGTTAAGGGCCTTGTTCAAGGGCCCAGAGAGGGGCAAATGATGGTGGAGGCAGGTGTGGGTGCTTTACCCATCAATTTGATGTTGTTGGTCCAGGGAGATGAACTGGCGACCTTCCGATCACAGGCCCACCTTCTCTAACCGCTGTGCAACCGATTCCCCAAAATGCCCCAAAATACTATTAAAAATTCTGTTACCTTTATACTGAAACTTATCTTTCTATCTCTTAGCACCTTAAAGTGTTACCCAACATTGGTTAGAAAAGTACTATGACCATGGTTTACTAAGTCGTAGGAATAAAGTTCTGGCCACAAGTTTTAATGTGAGATTAAATAAGATAAATAAAAACCCATTCCATGTCAGTTTGTAATTTCCAGGTTTTGCAGCTAAATTAAATGCCTTCCACTGATAATATAATTTTCATGGCTGCAAGAGATTACAGAATGTTCTTGTAATTCATTTTAATTCCAA